GGCACAAAGACACTGGCTCAGGTCCTGGTCCCGCGGGTCTCTCATCACTCAGCATAACCCTATTACATCTCCCCTGCTGCCGCTCTGCATTGTAAGGGACAGGGAGCATGAAGACGCTGGCTCAGTCGCTGGTCCCAGGCCAGCTTCCCTGTCCCTTACAATGCAGAGCGGCAGCAGGGGAGATTATGCTGGGATTCTGGTGCAAGCCAGACTGAGCGCTGTAACTGTCTACCCTTATCGAGTAATCAAGTAGGCAATAAAAAAATTGAGTAGTTGATTAGGAACGTAACTGCATTTTAACATCCTTACCCCAGCCAACCCACCTCTTGCAATGCTAGTATGAGGAACTCACTCCATCACAACCCCTTTCTATATTTTATACTAGTGTCAACAGTTAAAATTTAGCTCCCTATAGCTCCATGTGTCACCTTTAGAATTTAATGGAAGTTTTACCATTGGCTCAAATGGGAACAGGCTCAAGTAAAATTGTCCCATATCACAGCTCTGGTCTGCTGTAGTGGGTAATTTAGCAAATAGATGGTTCTGATCTTTTTCCAGACCAACCTACTGTCCTGATGCCATGGACCCAGTTATTGCTCTTTAAAATTACTGTTTGAGGGTACCTACTAGTTGCTGCACTTTGAGATACTGTCTCTCCATCAAGGAACAAACCTGGCTTAACATTTGAATTTTGACATTTCTTGTCCTCAGTTAACTGAAACAGGTTTTCAATGAGATTTACATCTCTACTCAGACATAATTTACTCTTCCCTCTTACAGAAATCCCATAAACTTTCTTTAATCATGAGCTGGTTAAGATGCCTTAGCAGGACAATTACATTTTTCTTTTGGCACACTTGTCTATGATTGTATCATATGAATGGCAGTGGTATTACTTGGATGGAAAGAAGAGATGTTTTCAAAATATGTATAAAATAAATTTAAAGACAAATTTCAGTTAAACAAAACAATATGCTTCTCCATATATCAACCTGTCAGGGATGATCTAGACAGTGCTTGGTCTTGCTGTGAGGACAGGGGACTGGACTCGATGACCTCTCAAGGTCCCTTCCAGTTCTATGATTCTACAATTATTATATATATATAATATTATATATATATATATAATAGCTAGTAAAACGTTTTCACTTATGGCTGAGGCAAAAAAAACTATTATTAATGTGAAAGAAATTTGTTAAAGCAACAAGTGTTTAATGCACAGAAGATGGAGTCTGTTCAGATGATCTAAGTCCCAAATTGCTCAATAGAACATACCTAGTCAATATGGATACAAGAGATCCACAAGAGAGGCTTAGAATAAGTTTAACATGTTCAAAAGGTAGATCTCAGACAGACAAATTTATCAGAAAGAATATAAAATACAGGTACTCAGGTGAACTATACAGATACAAAATTATGTTTCTAGCTTCATGGCTGTGTGTGGATTGAGAACTGCTAACTACTTAAGTTAATGATCATCTTTCCCTTGACTGAATCTTGTACTGTTTTAGCATTATGCTTTTGGATAATTTAATACATCTATATACACATACACTATTTGTTCTAAAGTCTCAGGGTGTATCTAGACTACAGGGATTTTTAGAAAAAAGTGGTCTTTTTCCGAAAAACTTCCCGTGTCTAAAGTAAATCGAAAGAATGTGGCAGTTTTTTCGACCGCAGAAAATCTAGTTTTATGAGGAAGAATGCCTTTTTTGAAAGTGCAGCTTTCTTTTTCGAAAGTACTGGTTGTAGTCTAAACGCTCTTTTTTGAAAGAGGCTTGCAGTCTAGACGTAGTCTCAGAGGGGTAGCTGTGTAAGTCAGTAACTTTAAAAACAACTATATATAGACATAGATAGATATCATGAGCTTTCATGGGCAAAACCCTCTTCCTCAGATTAGATGATCTTGAGGGATCAATATTTATTCTGTGTATCAAGTTTGATGATCTGAGTGAAGATTCCTGTTTTAATATAATGGGAATTGTTTTACAATTTGGTGTAAGAATATCTTTGCCTCTAATGATTATTTACCTAATTAAGGGTACATGGAATTAATATACTCAGATTGCAATTAACGGAAGTTACGGAAACTTTGTTCAATAAAAACGTAGATAGTCTTCAGTTGTAAAATATCATTGATGTTTTGAATAGTACGTGGTTGAATGGCCAGACATTTTACAACTTTTTATGATTAAGGTACTCAAGTGGCTCGAGAAATGGCAAAATTAGGTTGGTTTGGCTACTGGTCACTAGGGCTGTGTCTAGACTGCATCCCTCTGCCGACAGAGGGATGCAAATCAAGCACTTTGGAAGTGCAAATGAGCCTGGGATTTAAATATCCCGGGATTCATTTGCATACTCACGTTCCGACGCTGTGCCGATCAGGCTCAGTGTCAAAAGTGAAAGTAAAGTGTAGCCGCGGCTCTATCACGTTTCTGCCGACAGCGGGGGCTTTTTCGGCATATCCTGTACTTCTCAAAAAATGAGGAGTACAGGATCTGTACTCTTCAAAAAATGAGGAGTACAGGTTCTACCAAAAAATCCCCCGGTGTCGGCAGAAACGCAGTAGAGCCACGGCTACACTTTACTTTCACTTTTGACACTGAGCCTGATCGGCACAGCGTCAGAACGTGAGTATGCAAACGAAGCCCAGGATATTTAAATCCCAGGCTCATTTGCACTTCAAGTACTTGATTTGCATCCCTCTGTCGGCAGAGGGATGCAGTCTAGACGTAGCCTGGCAGTTTTCTGTTTAGTGGTATAACTGTGTTCTCACGTATGCATTTGTGATTTGTAGTTTAGACTTGTGCCAGAATTTTTTATGTAATCTTTGTATGGTTTCCCATTGTTTTTAATGTTTCTGTTTTTTTTTCCCAATGGCTGCATTTAATGGTACTTTTAAAATGGTCTTTAGCAAAGTTAGCTGTAAAACTGCAAAGTTTTTATTTTGAAAATTCCTTTGTTTTATAAAATTTCTAATTTAATATTATGCCAGACTTCTGGTGCTGCATGTGGAGAACTGCTGTCTAGAAGTAGCTTGAGCATTGATCAGAGCTTTCTGTCAAGTATATCATGTCCTCCTTTACCCCCCAAATAAATAACCTACAGTTATCTATTAAACAGTGAACAAGTTAGTACCTGCAGTTCTTAAATGGCTCCTCTTGCAAAGAGAACATACAGAACATAAAAGTTTGATTTCCAACTTTCTGCTCTGATAAGTTATAACCATATTATATGTTCTTTTCTCAAAGAATAGCAGCAAAAATCTAGGGAAATATTCATTGGAACTCATTTTGAAACAGTATTTACCTAGATTTGGGCAGGTCCTACATATTATAGCTAAAAGTTAAAATGAACAGCATATATCTAGTGCTGATTATTCTTTTTTCTTGAGCAGACACTTTAGGGACCAAATTTGGCCTTCAGATATGCATACATAACTTCCACTGATGTTAGTGGGAGCTGTATATCATATCAGAGGCACAGTCTGGCTCTTTAAGTACATGCTAGTTGTATTAGTTGCATGTAATTCAGAATCTACCATATTACTACATTAATAACATATTACCATTTGTAGACAGAGCTGTTTTCCTGTTGGTCACAACTGTGTCATCATACAATTATATAATTTTGTTTCTTTTAATTCATTAAATCTTCTGATTACTTCTATGACAAATTGTCCATTTGTAGTGGAGGGATAAACAATGTGTGTTTGGAAATTAGTTAGAAATAAACAAATGGGATACACAGAGCCACAGAACACAGATAGGAAGAGGTAGATTGACATTGAGACCCAATGGTGCCCCAAATTTTTAGATGCCTGGTACATTAATGTATTCTGCTTATGGGTAAGGGCAGCCCTGGCATCAGGGGAGCAGGCAAGAGACACAGGTGATGACGAGCAGCACAAGTCTTAGCTGGAGGGCTCTGGAGGACCAGAGAGCAGTAGCACAACCAGTGGCTGGAGAGCAGCAGCACTTTAAAGGGAAACCACAGTTTTTCTCCAGTTACCAACTGCACGGCTGCCCCCTGCTCCTCTGGAGTCCTCCAGCCCATGCCTGTACCATTCGCTTCCTCTTGGTGAATGGGGGGAGGGGAGGAAGAGAAGGAAGGGCAGGGAAGGATGATGGGACTGGCCGCAGGAGATGGCGCAGAGCCTGACGGGAGTGGCAACAAGGAGATGCCCAGAAGTCGCCTGCATGATCTCCACCTACCTCCTCATACTTTTCTAATTAAATTTGCCTTTCCTCAAGCACTAGCATTCAAAGATAAATGAAAAATGATTTCTACTGTTTTTCATTCCAAATATACAGTATTTTAGCTCCATTAACGGTTAAATAGGCTTTTGTGGGCTAACCTGGGAACCTAACCATTATTTAGGAAATTGTTTCTATCGGAAGAAATGCATTTCAAGTTCCAAACAATCAAATTACAAATGAACTTTTGGAACACAACCCGTTTGTAAGCTGGGGACTTCCTGTATGCAAGCATAAAGGGTCAGCTGCTGGACTGCTGTACATCCACTTTGGTCTACACTGCCAGTGGTTTCTAGATGTAAAGGAAGCATGCCCAGCATCAGAAGGATCACTCCAGTGTAGGACAGATGTTTGAGTAGAGTGCAACCAGTATCAAAACTCCTTAAACCATTGCCCTTCTTGTTATTGGCATGGGGAGTTGGGCTGGAGGGAAAAAAGTATGGCTAGGAAACCCCTACTCTGCATTACCTTACCTGCAGTACACTGCTATTTCAACTTCTGCAACCCACTACTAGGCAAAGCAGACTAGAGCCATCAGGTTGCTGATTAGACAACCATAGTTACTTTGTGTAGTGCTTTGAGATCTGTTGACAAAAAGCATTATGTAAAAGTTACATATTTCATTGTTATAACTGAAGCCTAAACTTTCCATGTTTCTCTAAGACAAAGTGTATCTCAGGGAAGTCTTAGGAATCAATGTAAGTGGCAGCATGGAGAAAAAAATTAGGGAAATAGTCCAATCAGTAAAAGTTTACCCATCAGCATCTGCTTTAATAGATTTTCTCCAGGGAAAAGTGTACAGTAATTCTGATCTCTCCTGCATTCTTGATGTGTACACATTCAAAAATGAACAGCAGCACAAGTCTGTAAGAAAATGTCCCATCCTCCTCATTCCCAAAAAGAAAGGGTTTACTCCAAAGTTGTCCTTGTTAGCTATTTAGCATGGCAACACACTTCATTTTTGCATTTCTGTGGGCTGCAGCAAATTGTCTCTCTTGACAGCCATTGATTTCTACCAAAGCAACAATGGTTTCCATTTATCACAGTCTGACACCATATGGTGTATGAAATCATACTCTACACCGCACTGTTCAAAGAGATAATGTATATCCCAAGTACATATGCTAAAAAGAAACAGCAATCAGCAATAAAATCAAACACTGTACCTGGTTTTTCTATTATTGAAAAAAAGTACATTTTCAAGAATCATAATCACTTCCAGACCCAAAAGTGTTAATTAACTCAAAGTCAGACTTGGTACAGAACATATATAAACAATCAAGATGATTGCAGTCAGCCAAACAAGGAAATTGATTCCACCTTAAAAAAGACTCCATAGTTCTTATGGGCATACAGTTTTCTAGAAACATCAAAGTACAGTGCAGCTGCTGTTTTGTGAAAGGAGTACTGTGTTCCCGCTAACAATTCACTGAAGTCAGTTTGGGTTTAGCATTATTGATATGAAACTAAGCAAATGCTTTGGCTTGCATAGTGACTCTAGGCTCTCTCCATTTTACTGGCTGATGGCGATATCAGTGATTGTATGTTTTTATGTCCCGGAGGTAACTTATCCAGCAATTTATCGAGAGGATCTTTCATTGTTGAACATAAAGACTACTCCCCAGCAGGACGAATAACATCCACTTCAGTTGCCTGAGAAATGCCTGAACTCTACTGTCCTTTCACAGGGATTCTGGAGTATGCCTTGGCTGATTCTCTAACGTCTGGTTTTGATAAGTGAGTTTCACAGTCTAATGTCTCCTGGGAATTCTGCAGGCAGAGACCGGGTGAGGTCATTTGGCTTTCCATTGAGTTTCCTTTCTCTGTTTTTGGCTGTTCCAGTGAGCATGACCCTCTAGAGCTCAGGAATATTTCTGTTCCCTTAGGAACTATCGGCCCACTCACTGGTTTTATCTCTGTCCACACAAAAGCTCCATGTCGCTAGAAAGGGAAATAAGGTTGACATTAACCAGGGGAGCATAAGCAGTTAGTAAATGCAGCTGTGCGCTGAGTTCATTTATTAGCTCAAGTGCTGGCAAAACATCCACTTGTTTCTTGGTCTCTCTACTGGCTATCAGCCTAGGTCCCAATAGCTGCAGGCAATTGAATAATGGCTGGCCTGTCAGCCTTTTTTATTCATGAAATGGGGCATGGCAGGAAAACTTGGAGAGAAGCAACAAATGAAAAAAATGCATCTTATTTTCTCTGGTTCACAACCATTCTGCCACGCAGAGTGTGTGACTTGCATATGGCTCTCTACTGTGCAAGTCTAATCATATCAGATTTCATTTCTTGCTACATGGGTTGCTATGGATACAATTCTAAACTGCTGCTTTTATAGGCCAGGAGATTTATGACTGCATCCCAAGGGACTTTGTCCATTAGGGTCACACAGGAAGGATTTCTTTTATATAAACATAAGTGGTGAACAAACAATAGGCTGTACTCTTTAAGATGTTTCCAACAACTGAACTCTGCAATTTGGGCCTGATTCAAAGCCTACCAGAGTCAATGGAAGTCTTTCCACTGATTTCAATTGCCTTTAGGTCAGGTCCCCCAGTTACTGATTTGTTAAGACATAAATACTCAAAAACTTGTAGGAAATGAAAACTGATGAAATTTTTGGTCATTTAATTATGGAATGCCCTCAAAATTTGCATTGGGCTGGGCCTGTTCCAATCACACATCATTTTTAGTTCACTAAGCTCAGACGTAAGAGAGAGCAGACACAGATGTATTAGAAATCCAAACTGTGTAATATAGCATTACAGCATTTATCTATTATTATAGGTGCCAGAAACCATGGTGTTACAATGCACACAAACATAGAATGACATGTTTAAAGTATATTAAAAGTATCATCAGTACTAAAGTTCTTTAGAAAATGCAATTCTAAAGCATGTGACAGAATTTGCTACTTTTAAAACAGTCGGAAGTTCATGAATAAACTTATTCCTCCAGCTTCCTGCATGCTATTAATCATACAGGATGCACATTGTCTTACCTTTCCTCGAATGGGTTCATTAGGAGATTTTCTGGCATCGTACTCATGAATAAAGGAGGTCCGCTCCTGTAAAATTTTTGGAAGGCTTGTTGATGTTCTAGGAGTTGCAAGTGGAACTGGGAAAAAAACCAATATTGTTATAAAGTCAGAACAAAGATGTACGGTGTGGCCTCATGTTGTACAGCATGGAAACACTGTTGTTTAACAACACTCACAAATGTATTAGATGTTGCACAGAAGTGCGCACGTGCGCGCACACAGACAGATGCCTGTCCTGAATTGCTTAAAAAATAAATGATGGGCTTGACAGACACGTAATGATGTAACATATACAGGAAAGGGAAGGGCAAAGAGAAACATGAATTAGTTACATGATTGTACAAACGCTCAGTTTTACATACATACAGCATGTGGATTCAGAGTCTTTTCAGAGTGGAAATGAACTAATTTTTCATAGGTAATGCTGCAGAATTATTCATTTTTTAAATGAGTGATTTAGATGAGGTAACAATGGAAACCAGACAAACAGAAATTGGAAGGGCATTCTAAGCATAAGAATTATCAAAGAGACATACAGAAAATGCCTTTTACATCATCTAGTGCATACTGGGTTGTTCCGGACAATACATTTGATAGTGCTTAATATTAAAAGTCCCAACTGAAGTTATATCCTTCTATATCACTAGCATTATCCTGGGCACAGATTGTGAATGGCCTGTCTATGTCAGCACTGAATGCAAAGACTTCCTCCTGTTGTGAGTCCCCACAAGGGGAAAAATTGGATTGTTCCTCTTCACATTGAAATAGAGTGAGTCTAGCATATCTGGAAAGCAAGCAGCACTTTCTAAATATTATGCATGCTGCAAACTTCTCCGATGCATCAGAGTAACAAGACTAGACCTCACACAGATCTTGAGGTAACTGTTTAGACACTAGCCCACTATATTGACATTTATTTTTACTCTTCAAATAAAGTCTTTTATCCAATGCTATTCTGGTCCAAGCTAGCTGGAGTAAATTTTGCACTTAATAAACACACACTATATTTTCAAATATGACTACAGATTGAACCTCTCTAGTCTGACACTAGTTGGACCACAGATGTTGCTGGACCAGAATTATTTTAGTTAGCCGGATGTCCACTTATCATAGGTGTGGTCCAAGTTTCCCACAGTCCCATAAAGTTTGTTTACAGCTACCAGTCTTGACTCTCAGTGTTCTGTGCTGCTATTTAGCTCTAATTTACCCCAAATGTCTTCTATGAGCTCAATAAGCAGTGCAAACATTGGTAATGCTGTTTGACATTACTATCCTCCTATGGTCCAGCAAATTGCACCAGTCAAACTAGAGAGGTTCAACCTGTACTGATTCCGAGTGCCCAAATGGAGACACTTTAAAGGAACTTGACTTGCTGAAAACAAATGCTTAATATTTTCTGTAAAACAGGTCCCTTAAAGATATCAAAGACTGGACATCCAAAATCATTAGTCACCTTTGAAAATGTAGACCTCACAATGCTCGTTAGATCATCTAGTACATAAAGGGCTGTGCCTGCTTTCATTTGCACAGTGTTACCAGATTTAAACTGCTGCAGCACCTAGGACACACATTTTCAAAATAAACACTAAATGTGGGATCAGAGCTGAAATCTTATATGTTTACAACTAAGACACTTATCATGCAAATTGCACCAGATGGGCAGGTATTTGTATGGTGTACACTGCAGGATCAACACTTAAATTTTGGTGGAAATACAAATACTCTTAAAGGGTAAAAGTTAAAATAATTTTATTCTTCATGTTACGAAAAATGTAAAGACAACTGGTTATTTGGACCTACCTATTGATGATACTTCCCTCTCATATAGCACTTTTGATCTAATGATCTCAAATACCTTTTCCAAGGAAGGTAAAAATCACTATCAACCTTTTACAGATGAAGAAACTGAAGCTCAGCAGTGCACTGCCTAAGATCTTTGTGACACAGCCAGTCAGTGAAGAGCTAGGAACAGAACCCAATATTTTCCAATGGGACCAATATGTTGGAAGTTGCTAATATTTCATTTTCTATTTCATCCAGTTTTTATTTGTATACACTCATAAAATACACATATGTAGGATATTGTACAAATATCATACCAATGTACGATAAAGACAGAATGATACAGAAGCTTCACAACAATACAGGGCTTGATCCAGGGCCCCGCCACTCCATGACCCAGCAAGGAACTGCTGCTGCTGTTTGCCTCAGGCCAGGTCACTGGCCCAGGGCAGGTGGAGGTTCTCCAAACCAGGAAGTGGAACTGGGGCTGGAGGCGGCTGGATGGGAAACAGCAGGGATGAGGGAGCAGCAGAGCTTGCTGAGCGACCTGCAACTGTCCCCCACCAATACACCACTGGCTGTCGGCGGGACCAGGGACAGGAAATAGCCGGGCTATGGGAGCCTGGCAGCAGGCAGCAGAGAGGGGAACTGGATCTGCTTCCTGCTGGGGCCCCAGAGCGCAGCAAGGAGCCGCTTCCACCCTCTGACCTCCTGTAAAAGAGCTGGGGGCCAGCAGGGAGCCCAGGGCACTCCCCAAGGAAGGGCTAGGCGAATGACCAAGCTGGGTTGGGACTCCCACCCTCTGGAGCCTTGCATCTCCCACCGAGCTCACTCCCAGCCCTGGCCTCGCTCCTGGGGAATGGGGTAAATTGCTCCAGCCCCAATGGTGAAGGGTTCCCATCCTGCTCTGAGCCATGGATGCCGCTTTCTGTTTTGAGTCTGCTGAAGCTGGGGGGAGGAGAAGGTGGGGCAACACAGATGATGTCACTCTGTAATCTTGCAGGAAATTTTTATATATATATATAGAAAGATTTGCACTGTAAAAATTATAAAGAAATAGTGTTTTTCAATTCACTTCATACAAGTCTTGCTTGGTGGTATCTGACTCTGACGACGCAAATGAATATACATCAGTATGCACTACTGTATTATTATGTAGCAGAACCCATCATCAGCATTGATGCGTGTCTTCTGGAATGGAGGCTGAAGTATGAAGGGACATATGAATCTTTAATACAGTAAAACTCCAATTGTCCGGCGTCCAGTGATCTGGCACTCCTGATAGTTCAGCACCAACTGCAACCCGGAAGTGCTCCGGCCAGCCAGACAATTGGAGCTGCTTTGCCCCCGGCTTCTCCAAGTCCGCTGCTGTTCTGGGGGCAGAGTAGCTGGAGTGCTGCCGGGTTGGTCCCGCAGCGCCGCCCTCTCCCACGCTGCGCAGTTCCCCGCCAGCCCCACCCCTCACCCCAGACCTCTCATAGCCCTCATTCCGGTGCTCCGGCATATCTGATAATCCGGCTCCTCTGGGTCCTAAAGGTGCCGGATTATCGGAAGTTTACTGTATATCAGATACATAAATATCTTGCAACACCAGCCATAGCAATGTCATACGAATGAATGCTTGTTCTCACTTTCAGATGACATTGTAAACAAGAAGCAGAAAGCATTATCTCTTGCAAATATAAACAGACCTTTTTATCTGAGCAACCAGCTGTACAAGAAATAGGACTAAGTGGACTTTCTAGGCTCTGTAGTTTTACATCATTTTATTTCTGGATGCAGTTATTTTTTGTGCACAATTCTACATTTGTAAATTTATCTTTTATTGTAAAGAAACTACACTGCAGTACTTGCATTAGGTGAACTGAAAAATACCTTTTTACAAAAATAAAGTGAGCTTAGTGCACTTTATATTCTGCATTGTAATTTAATGCAAAATATTTGAAAATGTAGAAAATGCCCAGAAATATTAAAATATTATTGTTTACTAGCACAATTAATCCCATGATTAATCATGATTATTTTTTAAAAACTGCTTGACAACCCCATTTAAAGGAAAAGCAGTAGACAAGGCAGGCAAGGATTGAATGGGGAACGGGGGGGCTGAACTATGCTCCCAGCCCTAGGGATGGTCTTCTTCACATCATTGCTCTAGCCCACTAGCAGAGAAGTGTGAACAAGTTTAAGTTGATGTTGCTCACACTGTACCTGTTCTGGGGATAAACAGAGAAATTCAGTCTCTAGTGTTGTCAGCAAGGCACTGGTCATGAGCACAAAAATTCACATAAATATATTGAGGAAACATTAGTACACCAATGAATTCATCAATATATTCACCGTAACTCAGAATACATGAACGCATTATACAAACAGTGTTCATGGGCACTATACAGAGGCAAGGGGCAAATCAAGACACAAGGATGATAACCTATTGTCTTTTGGTAGGATCATATTACCGGAAACAAAATACATCATTGAGCAGAATTGGAAACAGAGGTCAATAATGTGTTCTGCAAAGTCAGCATAAGGTGAACTTTGAGCCTGTGTTTAAGTGCTTGGATGCCAGACGTATCATTTTTAGATGAATACGCAGACCACTTTGTAAAATTAAGCTTCCTGTATTTTTGCATCTTGCAAACCCCTACAACTAGTTTTTAGTTACTGAAGGTTTAAGATCCAGCTAGCATTCAGTGGCACATTGTTCTGGCACAAACTAACAGTAACTGTATTGCATTTTACTGACGTGTAAAGTGGCAAGTTTGCTCTTCAGAATCTTTTGAGTGCTATCAATTGCACTATTTTAGGGACAATGTTCCAGTGATTAAAACTTAGGACTAGGAGTCTTGCTTGGTTGCTGCCTTGCTGTGTGGCATCTGTAAAATCACTACATATACACTGCCCACAGAAATGTGAAACTTTGTGATTGTCATTGTGGTTGTAAAGCATATTGATGGTTTGGGGCACAAAGGGATACAGAAATATGATTTTTCTGATACATTTCACTTAAGGAGCTTAGAAACACATTACTTTGAGACAATTGCAATAATATGCATTGAAGTATCTATAATATATCTGGGTCATGTAGTGATGTAGTCATCCCTCCCTTTCTGGATTGGAGGGAGACCACACCACCTCACTAGGGGTATGTCTAGACTACGTGGCTCTGTTGACGGAGCCATGTAAACTAGTTTACCCAGCATAGGCAAAAAAGTGGGGATTTAAATAATCCCCGCTTCATTAAAATAAACATGGCCGCCGCACTATGCCGACGATCAGCTGGTCCAGCACAGCACGG